AAATAGTAGATCCTTCATTGTTTACATAAAAGGTTTTAATTTAAATTTTAAAGAAAGATAAAATATGTTTAATCATTTCTAACATGACGCCTGAAGATGAAATAATGGGCATTAATCGTTATCTTACTATTTAATCTTGATAGAACATGAAAGGTAACTTACCACAGCAAGCATGGCGACCTGGAGATAAAATATTCCCGTGCTTTGGTCTTGCATCAGTTTTATACCGGGAATGTTCGTCCTTCGGGAATCATGGAATCTCTCGATGCATAACAATGGCAATCTGGGAAAGATTATTTACAATATCTACAAGACGTATTTGTGATGTATACTAATTAAAACAGTTTAAAGTGCCAGTTTAAGTATAATAGTTGGTTATGTAAAATAACATTCTGAATTGATTGTCATCCAAAATACGTATTCGAAGATTAAAGTTGTAGGCTACACGTGTTTGATGCCTAAATGGACTGGCACAAAAATATATCGTAAAACCGCAGAAGTTATTAATATGTACTTACCAAAAATATATGTTCAAATAATAGTTTATATTTAGTTGTTTTAGATGAAGTAACATTCATTTCTTTATATAAAGATGCCTAGGGACAATTTAGTAAAACTTAACAATTTCACCTCTTTAGGTTTGTTCTTCCAGGATGTTCTCAATATTTGGTTTTTTATATTTTATATTCAATCGTTTTGTTTTTTACACACTTCAGAAGATAGTAGATTGAACACACACAGAAAACACACACACACAGACACACACACACGCACAGAAAATACGTTTTTATATTGTGAATTTAGTTTAGAACAATTAAATGAATAAATTAAAATTATTCTATGAATGTGAAAAATATAATCATTTGGTCCTATTTTACAGTTTTTAAAGCATCAAAATCTCCCAACATATTAATGGCTAAAGAATAAAAATAATTTAAAATTACTAAACAATGGAAACACTTTTTAATGCATATACATTTCTGTACCGGTGTTGAATTAAAAAAAATTATTTTGTATTAATTTTTATTAGCTCCCATTTTCCTGAAATTTATAAGCCAAAGCTTATGTTATTAAAATAACATTATTAATAAATTATTATAAGGGTATTGAAAAATGTATTATAAAATTATTAAAAAAGACTAAAGTTTTAAAGTTCTCTAGGCAAGTTAAACCGCAAGTTATCATAAATATTGTACAGACAAAATTTGAAATAGTGTGTACGGTAAAACCTAATAAGGTTAAAAAAGGTACCATAATATTGGTACATATAATCGGCCCCAAAAAAAGTATAAACGAATGAGACCAAGGCAAGAAAATGTTTTCATTGTTCGTCTGCGGCATTGGTAAAAGTAAACACCTGCTCTCATAAATCAGCTGTTGCCGTTTCCCGCTTTCCCGCGTCTCATAACACCATTCTATCCAGCTTTCCAACTTCGTGTGTTTCATCGTCGATATTAAATACTTCAGTGTAAAAATATTAACTTAATTTGGTTGGTTTGCTCTATTCTTTTTAAATTTAAATCAGCTTAAGAACAGAAGAAAATTGTACCGAGGAGTTAAAAAGCCAAATCTTCAGACCAGTTGTTGTTTGGACTTTATTTCTAGCTGTTTCAAAGCCATGAGTCCCATCCGTAAAGATCTCCAAGGTGACCTCAGAAACAAATCAGCTGATTGGACAGTTGAGGTCAGCTGAGATCACGGCAGAGTGATATTCTTTGAAGGAATTCCAACTGTAGAATTCAAGCACGACTGTTAATCTAGGAAAATATTATGTCTTTAGATTATTATAAAATAAATAATTCTATACATGAATTATCAGAAAACATAGTTTTCAATTACGTCAAGAAACGTCACTTGTAGTAGCAATAGTCATTGAAAATATAACATTAGAGTAATGAGACTGTTTAAAATAAAAACACATAACAAACATATCATAACATAACATAACAGCATATCGTGAGCTAACTATATAAAATAACACCATAGAAGAGGATAAAGTAACGATATGAGTAGAATATAGTAATTATTTATGTTATATTAGTTTCAATAAAGTCTATTCAATTTATTCTTTATACTTTCAGGGAAAAATATTTTTAGCTACGAAACTACAAAAGATTTATTGACGGACCGAAAAAGCTACACTATTTATATTAATAGTAGGACTGTACCGTGTGTTTTTGTATTGTATCAAACAAAATTAACACACAACATTAATCTGACAACAAGCTATGGTTGAAACCTTCTAATTTCTGTAAAGTATACAAGTCTGGTGAACGATTTAAATAATGGTCACATTTCTTGTTTTGAAATTATACAGGGTGAAATTTAAATGAGTTCCCCCCCTACTTTTTTCTACATTTCTTAAGATATCAACTTCGGACCACGTCAGATCATTGTAGTGTAGTAAGTACTTCATTTTGACTGGATAAACATTTTTGGCCGCCATCTTGGATCCGCCATATTGGATACAAAATTTTTTTTTCAAATGTAAAGGTAGAATTGTGACCCATTGTTTCAAACTAGAATTTTACGCTGATTACAATGCCGCAATTAGTTTTAAAAAATCTTGATCCGTTCTAAAGTTATGAGGACTTTTTATAACTTTATTTTTAGCCCATTTTAACATTGTGCATTTACAAACTAAGACCAAAATCTCAAAATAGTGCTAGATAAAGATAAGTATACACCACCATTTATTGACGACCTATTATCACTTGGTTATGACGGCTGTATTTTTTTGGCCGCCATCTTGGATCTGCCATTTTGAAATGTGATAAATTAATTTAAATATGAAGGTGGTGTTGTGACCCATCATTTCAGACTACTTTTTTATGCTGAATTCAATGCCGCAATCCGTTTTTGTTTCTCAGGCTTTCTTGATGAAATATTAAAATTATCTTACTTAAATTTTCAATATTTCAAAAAACAAATATGAAAATGCAAAACAGATTGTGGCATTAAATTCAGCATAAAAAAGTAGTCTGAAATGATGGGTCACAACACCACCTTCATATTTAAATTAATTTATCACATTTCAAAACGGCAGATCCAAGATGGCGGCCAAAAAAATACATCTGTCATAACCAAGTGATAATAGGTCGACAATAAATGGTGGTGTATACTTATCTTTATCTAGCACTATTTTGAGATTATGGTCTTAGTTTGTAAATGCACAATGTTAAAATGGGCTAAAAATAAAGTTATAAAAAGTCCTCATAACTTTAGAACGAATTAAGATTTTTTTAAACTAATTGCGGCATTGTAATCAGCGTAAAATTCTAGTTTGAAACAACGGGTCACAACCCTACCTTTACATTTGAAAAAAAAATTTTGTATCCAATATGGCGGATCCAAGATGGCGGCCAAAAATGTTTATCCAGTCAAAATAAAGTACTTACTACACTACAATGATCTGACGTGGTCCGAAGTTGATATCTTAAGAAATGTAGAAAAAAGTAGGGGGGGAACTCATTTAAAATTCACCCTGTATATTCAAATAAGTTTGATATAATAAGCCTTTTACCATAGATAAAAGGAGTAGAGACAACCTCTTTATCTATGCCTTTACGAAATTGACACTCTGAGGTTCTTAGGTTTTTATTTGAAAACTACATGAATAACGATTGAGTTTTAAATGAATTAACTGCCTTGCCTCTAAGATAAGCTGGCGTATCTAAAAGAAGCAAAAACATTGTAGTGTGAAAAGATTTACCTTTCATGTATCTATTTAGGGAAACCATGCATTATACAACATATTGCCTATTTCCCATCAACGTTGATAGGTCGCGCCCCGCTGCCTAAGTTAAGTATCAATCAGCAACATAGATAATTACCTACGTTATCACCTAGTGAGGATATCAAGGTCGTTACCGCTCTCGGCTTATCACATCTTGAGTAATCACTCACGTTTAACGTAAAACCTAGAGTGTCATTAGGCTCCACTCGCATAAATACTTAAACAGGCAGTAAGTGAAATTATGTAATTTTTTGAAAAAGTAAAGGTTTATCGTAAGTAATGACGAAGGATAAAAGTTCGTCGAGAGATTAAATACCATAAAAATATGCAAGAAAAGTGTTGCGAACATTGTTAAATGAATATTTCATTAATTACATGTTGGATTGTAGACGCAGGTCAAACCAAATATGTTAAATGTTTGCCAAATGTCAACAGTTCAGTGCCCTAGTGATGAAATAACTAAATTTGTTACATTTTGTTGAATGATTGGTTTTGTTGGAGATTTGAACGAATAAAACTGAAAATTTGAATGTTTCTAAAACCCTAATGTTTTAAAAATAAAATAAAACTTGCCACATTACACTTGCACTATACAAGTGCGTTTTAGGGAATTTCTCATATAGGGATTATACTACTATCGTAGGTCTCATGGTAAGATAAACCCCCGGACAGATTTCCTTTTACGTTTTGTCCTCATAGTCACAATGTTTCGCAAATAAGTTTGAAATAATTTGTAAAGCTTAAGTATCTGAACATTGAAGGGTTTTTGAACGCCAAATAGTTACACCAAAAATTCAAAATAACTATAAATTAAAGAGTCAATGTTATTCTTATGAAGATTAAGTAAATTTCTGTATTTTGCTTGTTTGTTTATTTATTTTGACTAAATAAAACATTCCTTGTAGCAGCAAACCTGACTACTCATTCCCAATGTTATTTAAATAAGGAATAAATCTGACATGTTTTATTTGAGTGAAATTCTAATAAGGCAAATGGAAATTCTTTTGGTAGCAGGTGCGCTGCGTCGTGGTTATTTACACATTAACAATTAATATGTGACAACTTGGTCACTATTTGCGTCCATCGTATTGTTTTCCAAATGTTGTTTTTAAGATATTTTTATTGATATATCATCTTATACTTCTAGAATATTAAGCCATTATAACATATCTTCCCGCTTTGCATAAACCAAGATGCGTGAAGGACAAGGTTGAAGAAAACTCTATATATAGTGAAGATTGAAAGTATTATGTAGTCACAATACTTCAATCCAACTCCACCATGAGACACCTGGTAAGATACTAGTTAATTATATTTAGTTTTGTGTTCAATTTTCTATGTTAAAACCTTTATAAATATCTCCACTATCAGTTAACCTGTTATAAAAAAAGATTTTAAGTCTTAACAACCTTTAACATAGCCTACATAAAAATTAACAAATGAAAAAAATAAAACAAGTTAATAAATGCCACTTTTTTACCCCAGTTTGTCAAATTTTCACGATGTATTGTACGAATTGCATTTATCAAGTAGTTGCAAATTGCATTTATTAGTAACTAGAGGACCCATGCTGCTCCGCAGCGTTAAAATAATTATTTTATCCGAGAAATAATCAAATTTATAATTTTTGATTGAGTAATACAGTATCTTGAGCTTAACTAATTCAAACGATCAATATCTCAAATTAAATCCTATAATTTACTGATTATTTTGTGTCTAAAACATATAGAAATACATGAACAATACTGGAGCTATTGATTTTTAACCATATTAAAACCTTATGAAAAATACTTTTTATATTAGTTTTTCACCTTGCGTTTGCTTGAAACTCGTCCAATTTGAATAACTAATAGCTTAAATGAAAGCCAGTATTTAACTGAAGGTTCTTAGACTAAAATATATAGGATTATAAATTTAAAACTGGTAAAGGTACATCTCAAATTGAAGTAAGAATCATATAATAAATCAAATTATGTGTTCTAGTCGTGTAATACTGTAGATAAATATTTGTAGATGATTGATGGCAAATTTGTGAGTGCATACCTTCAATTCGAGACCTCAATCATGAACATCGGTCGGGTAGAAAAGCCAAACGAACCCAGCAAAGAAAAGCCAAACTTAACTCCCATAAGAAAAACATGGGAAGCGAACTTCGTTTGTGTATACACCGAGTGGGATAATAGATAAATATATGCCAATGCTATATGGCAAATCTGTGCGTGCATACATTCAATTTGAGACCTCAATCATCAAAATCGGTCGGGCAGAAGAGGCAAACGAACTCGGCAAAGAAAAACCAAATTTAACTTCCATAAGAAATACACGGGGAGCAAATTTCGTTTACGTATAAGCCGAGTGGGATTATAGATAAATATATTCCGATGCTTGATGGCAAATTTGTGCGTGAATACCTTTAATTTGAGACCTCAATCATGAAAATCGGTCGGGTAGAAGAGCCAAACGAACTCGGCAAAGAAAAGCCAAATTTAACTTCCATAAGAAATACATGAGTAGCAAATTTCATTTGCGTATACACCGAGTGGGATTATAGATAAATATATTCCGATGCTTGATGGCAAGTTTGTGCGTGAATACCTTTAATTTGAGACCTCAATCATGAAAATCGGTCGGGTAGAAGAGCCAAACGAACTCGGCAAAGAAAAGCCAAATTTAACTTCCATAAGAAATACATGAGTAGCAAATTTCATTTGCGTATACACCGAGTGGGATTATAGATAAATATATGCCAATGCTTGATGGCAAATCTGTGCGTGCATACCTTCAATTTGAGACCTCAATCATGAAAATCGGTCGGGTAGAAGAGTCAAACGAACTCGGCAAAGAAAAACCAAATTTAACTCTCATAAGAAATACATGGGGAGCTAATTTCGTTTACGTATAAGCCGAGTGGGATTATAGATAAATATATTCCGATGCTTGATGGCAAATCTGTGCGTGAATACCTTCAATTTGAGACCTCAATCATGAAAATCGGTCGGGTAGAAGAGCCAAACGAACTCGGCAAAGAAAAGCCAAATTTAACTCCCATAAGAAATACATGGGGAGCAAATTTCGTTTACGTATAAGCCAAGTGGGATTATAGATAAATATATTCCGATGCTTGATGGCAAATCTGTGCGTGAATACCTTCAATTTGAGACCTCAATCATGAAAATCGGTCGGGTAGAAGAGCCAAACGAACTCGGCAAAGAAAAACCAAATTTAACTCCCATAAGAAATACATGGGGAGCAAATTTCGTTTACATATAAGCCGAGTAATACTATAGATAATTATATGCCGATGCTTGATGGCAAATCTGTGCGTGAATACCTTCAATTTGAGACCTCAATAATGAAAATCGGTCGGGTAGAAGAGCCAAACGTACTCGGCAAAGAAAAGCCAAATTTAACTCCCATAAGAAATACATGGGGAGCAAATTTCGTTTACATATAAGCCGAGTAATACTATAGATAATTATATGCCGATGCTTGATGGCAAATCTGTGCGTGAATACCTTCAATTTGAGACCTCAATCATGAAAATCGGTCGGGTAGAAGAGCCAAACGAACTCGGCAAAGAAAAGCCAAATTTAACTCCCATAAGAAATACATGGGGAGCAAATTTAGTTTACATATAAGCCGAGTAATACTATAGATAATTATATGCCGATGCTTGATGGCAAATCTGTGCGTGAATACCTTCAATTTGAGACCTCAATCATGAAAATCGGTCGGGTAGAAGACCCAAACGAACTCGGAAAAGAAAAACCAAATTTTTTTAATATATAAGATTGTAAATCATTATTACATTTAAATGTTAAAACCATTGAATACTAATATTTTAGCTGCGATATCGATGCTCATAGCTTAACTTAGCTTGTATTTAAGACTGTAATAAGTTTTTAGTTATTTACCATAGTGAAAAAAGAGTCAAAATGTAACCAAAATGTAAGCCAAAATCGTGTAGCTTTATTGATGATAAAACTGGTTAGTTACTGTACTTTTGCATAAGTTGGAAAGTACTTTTTTAGTTCTTTTGCCTCAGCTAGTCAACAATTATTGATGAGTGACATGATTTTGGACGATATCAAAACAGGGGCTTTACTTACCTTTAAATTAATATACAATGTTTGTTTATAATCACTGCTTAATTTTCACAAATCCCCCTCCTCATTTTTACAATCATAGAAATCAATCAAAATATATGTAACATAATCTATTGTCATGAGTACATGATAAATATGATAAAATATAACTGTATTTAAAAAATATAAATTACCTAAATGAACCAACCATTTTGAGGTTTGAAATTAAAAAAAAAACAACCCTTAGAAGTGGATGATGAAAAGAGAAAGATTTATAGTAAATGTGAAGATTATTCAAGAAACAAATATAATCTAAATTATAAATCAGTAATTGATATAATGATTGGTTCAAGAGGGACTATTACAAAATTGTTTAACGAATAAAAAAATAAATATCATAAATATCATAAACGTGATAAAAAGATCATGTAAAATCATTCAAAATCATTTATATGGACAACATTAAGTTACTTATTATTTATATCATAAATTTAAGTTTATTGTTACTGTGTCTAACAGGCAAAGTTTATTATAATAAACCCAGTTTTTAAAATAAATATTAAATCAGATAAAAAATATATAGTACTGTATGCTAACTTTATAAAGTAAAACCGATTCAAAATACGTGTTTTACAACAAGCAAACTTGTCGATGAGATTGTACCTAAGTTTATGGCCGCAAACATCCTACTCTAGATTAAGAGGGACCCCCACTTTTATAATAATACCAAGTCAACCGTATTAAAATAGACTGAAATAAAATATTAAATTCTAACTAGTGATTCACACAAATATTTATTAAATATTTATATATAGATTGTTCTTCAGTGCCCAACTTATGCAATACTTTCCTGTCTTCTTTTAGACTTAGGTCGTACCCCTTAAAAAAGCATTTATTTCTTTCTTACTTATATATTCTTACTTTTCAATGATTTCTTTTACTTTCACAGATGATCTTAGCAGTTTTTATTGCCCTAACCTCAGGAGTTCCTCAAAAGAAAGTGGATCCTGCAAAAGACATCAAATTCGACGATCCTGTCCCTGAAGATGAAGCACGTCATGCAGTTGAAGAAGACAGGCATTTCAATGAGGCAGGACAACATAAAAACTATCATCAAAGAAACTTAGACCACATCAGCCAACATTTGGCTCAGTATGAACACAATCTGCTTCATCGAGCCCAAGCTTTAGCTGAGCGTGAGGACGTTTTGGCTCAGCGAGAACAAGCTTTGACTCAGCACCTCCTGGCTCCTACCCCCGTGGCTCCCCGTGGTAAGCAAACCTACCTACTGGTATCTCTACCCCAGTCTGATGTCATCCCCGTCAAGCCCGGAGCTCTGTACGACCCTCACGTCAAGAAACACCTCTTCACTACTGGTCATCATTGAGTGGATTGGGTAATATGGTCGATAATGCTTTGATATGTATAATCTCCCACTAAAGAACAACTTGTAAATTAACTGGGTCACTTTATCATAAAAATGTAGTAGTTAAATGTCTTAATCAGCTTTACAAAACAATAAACAAGCTTGTAAGGGTTCACTTATGTTCTATATGTGGTGATTGGCGATCAGATTTGAATAAATTCCTATTTATTTAAAGAGCAATTTCTGATTATGTAGTCTTTTGGCAGTCTTTGTCGAGGCTAACTATCAATCATGGATAAATAATGTAATGTTTGTTCGAGATGAGATTGCCTTTAAATTCATAGTGCCTAGATGCAATAAAATATGTATAAACTTTTATAAAATAAAGATTTCTGTTTTAAAAGTACTATGTTGTTTCTCAGAAACCATTTCAAACACTTAAGAATAACTAACTATTATTTTAAAGTCTATATTCTAAAAGGATGTTAGCAAAATCCGGACGATTATATCTTTATATTGTCACATAATGTTTGAATTTTATATTATCTTGGGCTTTTCTTTTACTACTTTTGATTTTTCTTTCTCATCTTTGTTGATCCATAATTTCCAAAATATCTTCTATAAAGCTTTCTTCTACTGCACAGCTGAATTGCTTCTATAATAAATATGATAAAATGGTGAAAAACTAAATTATAGTTGAAAAATGATTAATTGTATAAGTTATAAAAAATATTATTTTTATTTCAGCTCAAACTGAACGAACTTTGCTTTTTAAAATTACCGGTAATGTTAAATACGTGTATGAAAATAAAGCATGACGTATCAAAACAGTCTTTTAAACTTCTATTCAGCTCCTTAAAACTCCTAGAGAAATTTCCCTTCCCTTTCTCTCCACTTACCCATTCCAGATAACGTCTCTATAGTAAATGAGTCGTCAGGGAGAAGTTTGGTGAACAAAGGGTTTCCCATTAGAAATGCATTGAACAGCATTTCGTATATATTTTTCAATCCATTAAGATGTTGTAGCCCTCTCCAAATTGGTGGAGGTTAGTTTTCGGTTGGATTCTGATTAATAAAGGACTATTTTTCCTTTCAAAACTCTTATGCGATTATTGAGGTGCTTATGACACATCAATAATGTAAATGTTTATTGTTACCTGAAAATAATTACATGGGTTAAGATTGTTAGTCAAGTGATGGAAATATGCTTCTGTATAGTGTTTGTGACAAATTTAGGGTTTCCATTGAAATAAATAAGAAGAACCTCTATTTACTATTGTGGTTATTCAATTTGTTTTGGAATATTATTTTTTATGTTAAATGCAATGTTCAATGAGGCAGTTCTTATGTTTCAAATAATCTTGATCTATGTTTCGCAAGTTTAAAGAATTTATTGGTTTCTCTTTTTGGTTGTTAAAATAATTATCTTAATAATTTTCATCTTTATGGATGGTTTTAAGTAAAATAGCCTTTGCCAAATTTATTACGGCCTTTGCCAAATTTACTAAGGGTATAAATGTTACTACTTCTTCAACAATTATTTTTAAATACAAACTATCCATGTGGAGTTACAAAATCATAATTGATCATTGCTACAGAACTTATATTGGATTCTAGCAGTTTATTACTTTTAGACACTACTTATCATTCTCTCTTTAATTTTGGTCCGTTCTATTCACCTAATTAATTTATTAAGGCTTCTTCTTCGTGTGGAATTTCAAGCTAAGTATGAATAAAAGCAAACCAATACTCATAGTTTACTCATTTTCGCCTGCCACTTGTTGTGCTGGTGACGAAAAACCAAACATCTCTTCCATGATCTTCCTCTCTATACGTATGAAGCACAACTAAACACATTCAACGGAAGGATAAGTGAGATAGGGAGATAGACCGGAAATCAGGAAATCAGTGGGCCTCACTGATGAATCAAAATTGTCAGTGAGCCCAGGCCCGATTGTAAAAAAGAAACATCAGCTTATGTAATAAGTATCAGTATGTGTTAAATATCTACCACGAAATTTAAAAATTTAAAGAGAATTACATATTGCCATCAGGAATACTAGGGGTATAAACATAATATTAAAAAAATAAAAACTTTATTGACTGCGATCAGGTTAGTGGACTAGAACAGGGGCGGCATGGACGACTGGGGCGTGGTGGACTACGGGGGCGTGGTGGACTACAGGAACAGTCCTGACGACGGGGACCACAGGGGCGTGTACTAGACGGGCATGATGAACCACAGGGGCATGGTGTACCACGGGCACCACGGGGGCAGCCTTGACCACAGGCACCACAGGGGCGTGTACTAGAGGTGCAGGGTGGACCACGGCAGTCTTGACTACGGAGACGGAGCTGTGAGCCACAGGGACCACTGGGGCTACGTAGCCGGGTGCGGCGACGGCGACAGCCACCAACATAGAGAACAACACCTGTAAAGATAGGAAATGTTAGTTGAAAACATTGGTTAAGAATTATTTATCTTGTGATGATGGGGTTGAAACCCATGTAAGAAAAGTATGTTTGGAGAATCAGCTGTATTAATGTTAGTTTCGTCACTACTCTGATTTCGCTAGTCTGTATGATGGAACCTGTATGAAGGAATGGACTATGATTTTAGGCCCGGATAAGTTCCAGTTAGACAGAGGGTCAGGAGGCAGGTTCAATCATACAGACTATATGAATTATCAGTGGGACTTTAGGTTATGGATGTTGTATGGAGGTTGATTTATGTGAACACAATCGATTAGAAAAATGAAAAAGGGTATCAAAATATTTAAACCTATTTTTTTTACAGCAAACAACTCTGAAAATAAACAACATTGACATACATTGTACATATATTGTGGTAACATTGACATTGAAACATAAACAATATTAACAATTTTTTATAATGGTGAATTTAATCAATTTGGAACTCATGAAAAAATTTTTAAATGAATAAAATAAGGAAATAGACCAGTACTATAAAGATGTTGGTTCATACAGAAATACTTATAAACATTTATTTTAAGGTTGTAGAAAGGTTGTCGACATGAATACGAGCTATTTTAAAGATAATATCGACTCATGACAGTTTTTCGTTTTACATCAAATTTACAATCGTGTTTTTTTAGTGGGGTAGATTGCATGAAGATGTATAAGTTATCTATTGTCTTACAGTAAGTACCTAAGTAACTATAGTATGATGAGTTTCACTTCTGGATTGCGAAGACAGTAAGTAACTTATATATTTATATGACAATCCTTTATGAATATTGCACAATGTATTTTGCACAGAACTAAAAATGATTTTCTGTGTATAATCTTTGTTCTGTTATACTCCTTGCCCCAATTGAGATTTGAATAATATACGAGGCTCTATGTGGTGCACGCGTATTATTTAATGTGGTAATGGAAAAATGTGTGTTCCAATTTATTATTTTTCTGAAATGTAAGAATATGTTTTGTTGCTGGAATTGTAACATATATTTGTTTTGGTTTAGGTAATATTAATTTACGTAATTACCATTCGATACATTTTGAGATACGTTAGCCCCATACAGAGATGGGTCCTAATTAAAACTGTATGTCTATACTAAAAACTCGAGCAATTTCTTCGTCACTCAAAACTCGGGTGGGACACAGTCAATGACAATTACATCACACTCAGATATTATTTAAATGGACTTTATGGCACTCGTTAATTTTGTAATGGAAGAAACCAGTCTATGTACATTTTCGCATGGTTTGACAAAACTTTTGATTTATATCTTGTGCTTGGTTGACGCCAACTAACCCACATTGGGTAAACATTAACATGAAGTCAGGAGCAAATATTTATTCCTGTTTTAAAATCGGCTAAGCGTTAAAACCCACCTTTAAATTGAAAACAAATATAAATAAATACCACTTGGCAATAATTCACACGAGTATTAGGATTATAATTGGATGCACAGATCAAACAAACATTTAAAATACTATGTATTAATGTAATTTAAAAAGTTTGCAACATAATTTAGTTGGAAAGTACAGTAATAAAATTTAATTAATTATGAATGTTGCTCATTTTTGTCTGGATTATGTACAAAAGGATAGGTTAAAACACAATTTTCACCACATGTTCGTTGGATACGACGATAAAATGGATTTGCTGAGAAAATAATTTTTTTGTAGTTTTTAATTAATATTTTTAAGTAAAGAATTTACTCATTACAATTTGGTGTTATTGCATATAAATTTTAGTATTTGCACTGTTTTTTTTATGAGATCTAGATAAAAATCGAAAGTTCCATAACGACTGTAAATGAATTTTGACAAAATCACATTAATTCTAAGAAGAGTAATATTAAATATACGATTTTCAGAGTCAAGTAAGCCTACTCGTCTTCAAATGTGAAAAACAATTCTAGGTTTGGACCGTTCTCTTACTAAAAAACTTAAAAATGTAAATAGTGTAAGTAAACACAAACAAACATAAAAATACATATTGTTGTGAGTCGTCAAATATAGAGGCATTTTAACAGTAACAAATTATATAGAGGCATTTTAACGTTGGTTGCAAATTAAACTTGTGGTAAACAAAATTTATCGTAACCTAAAATTAGGGACTTACGAGGGCGTGCATGGTGAGAGTTGTGTATTGAGCTGACACTGAATACATGCTGAGACATGCTGATGTCGAGTTATATATAGAAGGCAGCGTCTGTGGCCTTCAGTGGGCGGCACCGGACATACAGGAGGCAGTGGCTTATCCGATAGCCGATCCAGGAGGCTGTGAAACTTCCGATGTTGCAGCTTGATATGTAAACCACGAATATTATACGAGAAACTGTGTCAATCATAGACATAAACCAACGACGTCACTGGCCCGAAAATAAACAGTTTGTATTATTATTTAAATGAAACTGTTGAAAAACTTATTTTTTCTTACAGGTATTAGTACAGTACAGTATATGTTATATGTTATAGGCTAGTGGTCGTTTGTTTATGTTTATAATCCATACCTCGTCTGTTTTAATTTCCATTATGTTAACGTAAACATGACACAATCGTGAGTTTTCAGTGGGAGATGTAAATTAGGATCGTTTCCAATCCACCTAGTTAAGTGCTATTTAATTGTTAAGCAAAGTGATCTTTGTGTATTTATATTTGCTAGTGTGCCTGTTGCTCTAAATCAGGTAATTGTCAAGTACCGGTATTATACAGGCGTTATTTAAAACTGCAGTAATAACAGTCATAATTTTGGATTTCGATAAGTTTAAAAGACTCAAAGCTTATGTAACTAATTGAAATACTCACTCTATTAATAACGGGTCGATATAATAAACACTTATTGTAAAAATATTATTTTTAGAAGCCGGTCTTTTTTTTGTGTTTTATACTAATGTTTCCCGACTTATAGCCGTTACCGGTAAACATTTC